ACAAAGCAGCACACACCAAATAATTAATGGTAAAAAGAAAACATTTAAAATTTGCAAAATAGACATACAAGAAGTTAATATATTTATAAATAAAAAGCTCTTGCAAACGGACTAAAAAAAGGCAAAGCATATAAAATATCAGTTTATAAAAATAACTAAAATATTCCATCTCACTACCACTCAAAGAAATACAAATATGAGCTATATTTTCCCACTGACTTCTAAGTTTCAAATTTTTGAAACTGTATTAGTATGTTAGTAACAGTATTATTTTGAATGTAAACTGCACAGGCTTCTGAACAGATATTTTGTAAAATATATCAAAACTCTTTAAAAATTAACATCTTCAGATGTAGCAATTCTATGTCTAGAAATTTATTCAAAGGAATTAATCAAATAGGTATATATAATGTATTAAAATTACAAACAGTTATCTACTATACTATTGTTTATAAAAATGCATTTGGTAACATTCTGTGGAGTCACCAGAAAATTAGTTAATGCGGCCATTAAAAAACTGCATTTTAAAAATAATGGAAATATATACTAATATGATTTGTTAAGTGAGAAACAGGGAATATGATATGATAAATTTTTTTTCTTTTAAAAAACTTATACTGAGACAAAGAATAACTTATAGTGATTACTTCCAGTTAGTGGACAAATTAAATATAGGTAGACCTTATTTTTTTCTTAAAACTATTCTGAAATTTCTGATTATCATTGCAATGTATACTATCTCTAAAAAACTATTAAAAATTTTTAGGTTTAGAACTTGGTAGTATTTTAAATGGAAAACATTATTTGCCCAGAAAGTAAAGTGTGGAATAATTAATTATTATGTAATGATAAAGAGTTGACAAAGGGATGAGATTGAAAGAAAAAAAGTTTGAGCATATTTTCATGTCTGTGATTCTTGGTGAAGAATTTATAATAGTAAGCACATACTGTCCTTGAAAAAGTTGAATTCTACATTTAAATACTGTTAATAGCTAAAGCAATAAATTTTAATGGTTTGGGTATGTTTCCCTTTTATTTTGTTTTCTCATTTCTGAGTTAAATTAAGTGATTACCACAGGGTACAGTGAAATTAGAATGTAGCTTTTCAACAAACTGGAAAGTGTTTCATATCCTTATGATGGGAAACTTTATCTAACCAAAAACTGTTTTGGAGGAAACTATACATTCTTTTAAGAAATGTTATTTTCTTATTTAATTTGCTGTTTCTACTGATTTTTACACTGGCAATAGTAATTTTAAGAGAAAGAAATGTAGGATACAAACTTTACACCATTGTTACATTAATGCAAAAAAAGTCCTTACAAATGTACAAAGACTGGAAGATATCCAATATTGAAACAATTATGAATTCATGTGAGAATTAAAAAGCATCTTGATGTACTTAATAAAGTAAATAGTTTTAACAATCCCTATGTAAAATAATCATAGATATTTTTAGACATAACCCAAAGTTTTGTCATCAGACTTAATTCATATTTCAGGTGAATCATATTAAGACAAAAACCTACAAAAAGAAAACAAATCAACTGACAAGACCAATAATAATTCTTGAAATAAAATATAAAAAGTTTTTATCAAGTTGGGATAAATTTTTAAAGAGTTGGTAAAAATAAATATCTATGAGTGAAAAAAGGCCTTGTTTCCTCCAGTGTTTCATTGAATACTGAAAGGTTTATTTTTCCTTTCAAATCACTCAAACCTAGAACTCAAAATATGAACTTCTTAGAGTTTAAACAAACTATGCTGGGTTTTACCTGAAGCTTAATACTCTTTGGCAAAAGTCCACAAGCATCTCAGGGAGCTAACCCAGATCTACCCTGCCAGAAAAATATTCCACTTCCCCTAAAAACTTTCTCCACGACTCCCTGACGGAAAGAATAAAAACTGCTCCCCCAACCCCCTATTTCCACATGATCACATCCATAAGGAACAAATAAATGAAAAACCTGAAATGACCTGTTCCACTTCAGAGGTGTAGGACCTTGACCACGTTGGGTAGTGCATACAGTAGATGCACTGCCCATTAACCTGTAGCTTCTTTGCAGCCATGTTTACAAGTTATGCTGAGGATGAGACCTGAGTGGGTACCATGCTCAGTCAGTGGCTAAGAAGGTCCAATATAAATGAGTTAGCTGGGCATTTGCTGAGCTCAAATCAGAAGGGTAGAAAGGCTATAGATTTAAGCATCAACCAAACATGGCTTCTAATCTCAGCTCTGATACTTTCTGTTGAATGACTCTGAATAGGTACTCTCTTTGCCTACTTATCCTAAAAAATAGAGCAGTAACACCAACTCCACAGATTGGAGAATAAATGAAATTTGTGAAAATGTGCTACACATTACTATTTATTGCTTAATCTGCTAGACTCCAACCCTAGGGGTCTGGCAGATTGCTCAATAAATAGTAGTTTCCCTTCTCTTAACATATACAGATACTTACATAGAAAGAAAAAATACCCTTAAAAACATCTCAAGCTTCTATTACAGATTGAAAACATAGTGTGTTTTTAGGCCTCCACTTTTGTCCTTAACCCAATCGCCTTTATTGGAAAGCAGCTCCATGAACTATCTTTTCTATACTTCTAGCCTCTCCCTTACTAATGACTTTTTTTTTTTGACATATAAAGAGAGTACAAAGGCTTTTCTTTAAATGTTAAACAAAGATCAACTGGACATTGTGTCGTGATTCCCTGCATACACAACTTTCTCCTCCATATTTCACCTGTAATCCTGGGATGACTACTGGCTGATCCTATCTCCTTACTTTTCATTTTCTTCTCAAGCTGCACAATCTGTCTTCACTCTTCCAATTATAAAGCCATTACTCTTACTTTCTACTTGTCAAAACAAAAGCTCCTTCAACCCGTCTTTCATGATGTCCTCTTATGACTATGACTTGTTGATCATGCCACACATTTTGAAGTGCTACATACCCTTGTTGCTATGACAATGCTCTTTCCAGCTTCTCCTCTTGGGCTCCCACTGGAACTCATTTCCCAGGATTCAGTTTTCTCCCATTTTCTTTCTGATTTCATGTGTTTCTCATAGGAGATCTCATCATTATATTTACCTATTATTTACCTACTGCATGCCAACAATATCAACTCAATCTTCATCTTCTGAGCTTGGATGTCTTTACCCCTGATGTATCTTTTACTAATACCCATTGTATTAGTTTGACAGAGCTGCTGTAACAAATTACCACAAACTGAGTGACTTAACACAACAGAAATTTATTTTCACACAGTTCAGAATGCCAGCAATCCAGTCAGTAGGGTTGGTTCTTTTTTGTGGTCTCAGAGGGAAAATCTGTTTCATGTATCTCTGTTCACTTCTAGTGGTTGCCAGCAAACCTTGGCATTCCTTGGAGTACAGTTGAATAACTTCAATCTCTCCTAGCATTGTCATGTTGTCTGCCCTCTGTATGTCTTTCTCTTTGTGTCTCTTTCCTCCTCTTATAAGGAAAACCGTCATATTGGGTTAAGAGCCCACCTTACTCAAGCGTGACCTCATCCTAACTAATTGCATATGTAGTGATCCTATTTCCAAATAAGGTCACATCCTGAGATTCTAGGAAGGACGTGAACTTTGGGGAGACATTATCCAACTCAGTACCACCATGAAATATGCCCCATTCTTAAATCTGCATGTTTGTAAATTGTGCCAACTCTCATTTCAAGCCAAAAATCTGAGAAGCATACTTCATTTTCATGTCTCCTTAACGTCATATCCCAACTATCATCAAACCCAGTGATTTTCATCTCCTAATATTTCTAGAATCTGAATACATTTCCTCATCCCGAATTCTGCTGCTTTCACTCACTCAGCATCTCTTGCGTGGCCTACTATAGCAGTCCGTCCAATACCCTTCAAGTGAAACCTCAGAGTTACAACAGTATATACATACACATAGCTTCATGGCATGTTAGGAAGACATACATACGTGGCATGTTGGAAAGACATAATTTTACATTATTTTTTTCTTTTCAGTGCTGTGAAAGATTCTGCTTCTTCACTGCAATACACAGAATTATCATAGATATCCTTCTTCAAGGATGATGGAACTGAAAGACAGAGTGGTTTCTGTGGGAGTCTTGGCCTTTACAAATTTTGGCTTGATAGACTTTTTGCAAACCCTTGGAGTGTAACAAAATCCATCATACCTATATTCTGGCTTTTTATTAGATTTAAAGGCCTTTTGGGAAAAGGCAGAAGAGTAAGGCTTATTTCAGCATTTTAAGATTTAATATTATACCTGGCTTCAGAAGCTCCATGACAGACGTATTTAATTCTCATTTTAAAATATAAACAAATATAATAAACTAATATAATGCATTAATGTAATTGCATGAGTTGTAAGCCCTCTTTACACACACACGTGCACGCACACACACACACACACACACTGATTTTAACACTTTATGATTTTAAGAATTTTAAGAATGGTGCTTTCTTCTTCTGTGTTAGCCCAATCCATAAGATTTAGTTTAAAAGTAAGTTATTTTGTGACCATTAAAATATAAGCATACTTGAGAAGGTTACCTAATTCTTTCCTGTCTTCCATGGTTTTATTCCTGAAGCTATCACACTGGACTTCAGTTCTCCTTGTACTTTATCCAAAAAACTGAAAGCCTACAGTTAATCATGTTTACTCCCACACCACCACAAGGATGAGAATACTCTTTAAACATCATAGCCTATAAAAGTGCCTGAAAGAAAGTAGGGACTGCAGGAAGGGAGAGCCCCGGAGGTACAGGAAGGCATCCAGCTCCACTCATTTTGTCTGTAGATGCTTCTGCTGCTGCTTCTTCAATTACATTAAAACTGTCTTGGCTGCAGACCACATTGTCTTAAAGCATCTCCATTTCCTTGGCTCTCTTTCCAATCTGAGAAATCCTGTTTCTAACAGATCCAGTCTAGGTAAGAGTACCTCTTCCCATTCAGGAATTTATACAAATCTGAATTGTTTCATTCTTACCTAAACATCTCTGAACTCTCTTCTCCAACCAAGCACACAACTCTAGGTCAACATCACATTTTTACAACTAGGAGTGACTGAAGGACACAAATCCACTCTGGTCTGGGCACATAATACTGCTACGTGCCGTTTGACACCTAGAATAAAAAGTATATCTCACTTAAGTAAGTAAAAAGTAGAATATTCATTTGATTTCTCAAAATCAGTTGGACTTTAAATAAAAATAAAAAATTATAACCACCTGTGATTTTATGGGGATGTTCAAGTGCTTAACCTAGAGTTCTTTCCATGTAATGTCACTACCTGGTAATGACTTCTTAAAAGTACATAGAACATAGAAAAATGTCCGAGACCAACAGGATTTAGATGGACATGTACTAACGGGGGAAGTTTTAAAACAGGAAAACAAGAGCCTCAGCTTAATTTTTGTATATGCAAATCATTTACTCTTGGGCCTTAGATCCCTATATCTACTAATAGAATATGCTTAATTATTATTTAAAATAATCATATGAAATCATGATTAACAATGCTTATCACAAGACTTATAGTTTATTTTTGATGTTGAGCAAAAAGTAATTTTGTTTTTTTCTAACTCAATTAAAATTTTGCATTGAAGAAATGGAAAACCACCAAATTTACTGTCAAGCCATTCAGGGCTGGCTGAGTCTCAATACTTAAAATACAAATTTCAAACTGCATTCTTTCTCATTTTCAATGGACATTAATGAAAATTTAATCTCATTTAAGCCTGATTCATGCTCATTTAGCATTAAAAAACAGGCAAAAAAATCTCATTTCTGAGAAATATTGCAACATTTTTTTTTTCAAAAGTGTTTGCTGTACCTCAGCTCTAAATTTGAAGGCAGGCAATGTTTCCCAAGCCTCTCTCTACATACATATAACATCATATATGATCCAGTAAGAAACATTTATTTCTCCAGAATTTTTTACATTTTGCAAATATATAACCTCTACAAAAATTAACCTACAATGTTCTTTAAAAGCAAAAGTTTGGGCGTAGTGCCTCATTCTTGTAATCCCAGCACTTCAGAAGGCTTAAGGTGGGTGAATCACTTGAGGTTAGGAGTTTGAGACCAGCCTGACCAACAAGGAGAAACCCCATCTCTACTAAAAATACAAAATTAGCCCGGTGTGGTGGCATATGCCTGTAATCCCAGCTACTCGGGAGGCTGAGGCAGGAGAATCGCTTGAACCCCGGAGTCGGAGATTGCAGTGAGCCAAGATCGCGCCATTGCACTCCAGCCTGGGCAGAACTTCGTTTCAAAAACAAACAAACAAAAAGTTAGACACGAGTTTACCATACAGCCCAACAATTTCACTGCTAAGCATCTGCCCAAGAGAAATGAAAATGGGTACTCACAAACACTTTAATGAGAACGTTCTCGGCAGTATGACTCATAATATTCCCATATTGGAAATAACCCAAATGTCCATCCACTGGTAAACAGACAAAACGTGGTATATCCAGACAATGGAAAACTATTTAGCATTAAGAAGAAATGGAGTACTGATACATGCCACAACATAGATGAATCTCAGAAACGTTATGCTAAGAAGCCATAGACAAAAAAACCATATAGTATATCATTCCATTTCTATAAAATGTTCAAAAAAAGGCAAATCTATAGAGACCGAAAGTAGATTAATGGTTGCCTGGAGATAGGAATGGGAACAAAGACTACAAATGGACCTGAGGAATCTTACCAACTAACTAAGTAAAGTGTTCTAAAACCGAATATGGTAATGGCTTTACAACTTTGTAAATCTTCTAAAATCACTGAAATATAATATCTAAATATTATTCATCGTTAAGGGGTGAATTTTATAATATATAAATTATCTCAATAAAGTAAAAAATGCTCCAATGCAAACTGCATAAGAATTTAAATAATTGTAAGAACTGTGAAGAAAATTAAATTGATCCATCATTGATCTTAACAATATGTTTACAATCAACTAAAAAGGAGGAAAAACCTCTTTAACAAAGATGAGATTTGACACATTTTAAATTATTTTGCATAAAGTGGTCCATTAGCCCTTGATATTTTACTGAAGAAAGCTGAAATTAAAAATAAGATTGAAAAGTCCATTACTAAAAACGTTTTCCAAAAGATTTCCTTTCCAAAACTATACTTTCTTTCAAAATCAAATCCTTTGAACTTCCACAATACCTTTTTAGCAAATGAACTCCTGAGATAGTGTCACGTAGGGGGCATTAGCCAGCATCCGGCACACTAACAGGAAACAAGGTTTTTAAACTGGTGGTTTAACCAACCTTGATCCATAACCTATCCCATTTCAGTATTTTCCATTTTCCGTGAGCCTTAAGGTTGTCAGGTCTCATTGTAGTAATACAAATGCTGAGCTTTCTGAATATTAAATCCCAGGAGGATTTTTTTGTTGAACGTGTGGCAATGTCAGTAAGGAAGGAAGGCATCTTGTGAAGAGATAAAGTAGACGGATGAATTTTGAAATCTATCTGTACACGAAGAGAAACGCAATACTCGCAGTATTTCTAACCCAATACCTTTCAGTATGCAAACCATTGGTAAGAGTGTTTGGGTTTTAAATTTTTTTCTAGGTGAACATGTAAGTGGTCATCCGCCGGGAATCTCCACTTTCTAGTCCTGCACAGACTCCAGCTAATAACACTAAACCACCTGCAGGATGTTTTGTAGTTGGTTTGTTGTTTGTTTTAGTGCTTTCCATGTGCCTAGCTCACGCAAGCACTTTTCTAAAGGACCCGAGTTCTGTTGGCTGCGTTATCTGGGGGAGCTCTACAAAGACTGGTTGGACTTGGCCCTCTCAGCTTCCTCCGAAGGTATCTGTTCGCTAGGTAACTGGCAAAGCAGGGTCATCTGCCTCTGAAATGCATTTGCAGGAGCTTCCCCAAGGGGCTGAGTAGCACTAGCAGAAGCACCAGCCAGGACCCAGGCCCTCCGCTCCGTCAGCCCCATGACCACCTTGGACTCGTTCGTGCCCCTCCCCGCTGCCTGCAGAGGTCCTAAGAGCAGAGAAAATCCAATAGCTACGGGGGACCTTGGGTTTACTTGGTCTACTCACCTCCGTATTTTATCCAAAGAATGAGCAAAGGCCAGTGAGGTGAGGTGACTTGGCTAAAGCCACACAGCCGGACGCTGGCCGAGCTCGGGTCTCTACTAACCTCGCGGCCGCTCGCGACTACCCAGGGCTTGGAAAGCACCGCCCAGAGAAAAGACTTGGCATTGCTGGCGCGATAGGCTAAGGGCTCAGCGACTTGTGACAGGACGTCATTCACGCCCACCTGCCGGGCAAAGTGGGCAAAAGGCAGGTGACAGACCAACCGCGTCACGCCTGTTGACCTGAGCGCCCCTTTCACTCACTAAATACCCTGGTTTGTGAGTTAAACTATGGGGTTGCCCAAGCAAAGGAGGCATCTGATTTGAACTCCTCCCATACTTGGGCCAGCAGGGCGGAAAACCAGAAAGTTATACTTATCACTTCTTCCTTGGGTCAGTCTCCCCCGATTCCTCAAGTCCCTCCCCTCCTTCCTCGCAAAGAGACACCCACTCACTCGCCGGCTCCAGCAGGTACTTACCAGCCGCGCGCGCAGCTGCCCGCCCTGCTTGGTCCCTCGCGCTCGCGCTCGCCCAGCGCTCTGCGGCCGGGAGCTGCGACTCGGGCTCTAGCTCGCTACCGCCTCTAGAGTCCACGGGGATGCGGCCAAGACTGAGCTACTGGGCTGGGACGCAGCCAGGAGGTGGCAGCGACTCGGGGGCGGGAACGGCCGCAGCGTCCCGCCCCCGGGCTACAAGCCAGGCGCCCCAGGCAGTGTCCTGCTTTCAGAGCAAACCTGCTTTGCGCGCACTCCCCGGGGCTCCTCTCCGCCGGCAGCCTGGGGCGAGCTCTTTTTCCTACGTGTCCGTTAACCACCAACTAATCATCGTCACACAACCCGTGTCCTCCCCACCTGCCACTCCCAGTTCCCTCGGGCGATTGTGAGGTTCTGCTAAGATTTCTGTGACGTGACTGCGGGGATTTCAATTCCCTTCCTGCTTTCTGACGTTGTCTCGTGTTTTCTGTCCCACCGGTTGTGTGCGCCCGCCCGGAGGAGGGTTTGTGCTCCAGGTGTCTTAAGGTTGCCCTTTGATCTAATGTTGGCTGTTTGGGAAGGTAGGAAGGTACACAGGTTTCTTATCTACACCCCGAATCTGGGTCTTCCAGTTTGTTAACAGATTAACAGATTGGGAAGCAACATGCAATGCAAACAACTTTTTGTGCAATAAAAGCAGAATATAATGTATATCAAATTTCACTTTCAGGTTCTCACTCGGAAAAATAAAGTCCTTACTACTAAGGTCTCATTGTGCTTTTTAAAAGCCATATTAAATGGATTACGATGCTGCTGATAAAATTAATTTCTCTACTTTTTGAGGAAGTGGTTTCTCACTGAAGTCCGGAAATTTCCTCTGGTTTCTTGAAACCCTTAATTAGTATTCAAAGTCCTCTCTAATTTCTAGTCTTGACTAATTTGCTCATTCATACTACGCTCTGACTCCCCACCCAACGCCTATGATACCTGCCAATGACCACTTCCAAATTCCCTTTTTAGGCAAAAGCTTAAGTATGGAAATATGAAAATATAATCAGACAAATATTTCCTTCATTGTCTGCTAATGGTGCCACAATCACACTCTTTAAATTATTCAATATTCATTCCTCCACAATATAGTAATAATTTTCTCTATTTTTAGATAGTGAATTGAGGTTTAGCAAGGTAAGATACTTTGAACAAGGCTAAATAGCTAAGATTCCAAATTAGTTTTGAACTTCGGTCTTCCTGCCTTCAAGATTGATTGACTTCCTTAAATTATACTCTGTTAATAAAGCTTGCGATATTTCCAAATGGTGATGTAAGTACATTTTGTTTTTTATTAGGTTGGTGCAAAAGTAATTGCAAAAATTACTGGTCAAAACCATAATAACTTCTGCACCAGCCTCATAAAAACATGGTTACTTGTGTGGTTATACAAGCATTAATCAAAGAGATTAAGAGTTATTTATATCATTAGTGTAACTTTAAAATTTATTATTTGGCACATTGCTAAGGCCCATTATTATATAATATATAAGAATATATATTTTTATGATCTAGGGCAAATTATTCTAACGTTATTTATTTTAGAGGTCCTATGACAGAAAGTGATACTAAAATGTTTGAACTTATGGTATCATGATTGTATTTTTATGATCGTGTAAGTATATTTCCTATACTTGAAAAATTTTCTTTGTAAAACCTGTATTTTGGAATCAATGTCATAAAACCACTAGACCTCACTGATAAGCTTTTAACCTACATATTTGAAATCATCAGAACCACTGGAATGTATGCCTAATGATGACTAGATTCTCAACATCTGGAATAGTACCTTCACAAAGTAGGTACTTCATAGGCAGTTTTTTTTTTTTTTTAATTTTTTATTGGATTTTAGGTTTTGGGGTACATGAGCATAGCATGCAAGACAGTTGCGTAGGTACACACATGGCAGCGTGCTTTGCTTTTCTTCTCCCCTTCACCCACATTTGGCATTACTCCCCAGGCTATCCCTCCCCACCTCCCACCCCACTGGCCCTCCCCTTTTCCCCCCAATAGACCCCAGTGTTTAGTACTCCCCTCTCTGTGTCCATGTGTTCTCATTTTTCATCACCCACCTATGAGTGAGAATATGCGGTGTTTCATTTTTTGTTCTTGTGTCAGTTTGCTGAGGATGATGTTCTCCAGATTCATCCATGTCCCTACAAACGACACAAACACATCATTTCTGATTGCTGCATAATATTCCATGGTGTATATGTGCCACATTTTTCCAATCCAGTCTATTATCAATGGGCATTTGGGTTGATTCCAGGTCTTTGCTATTGTAAACAGTGCTGCAATGAACATTCGTGTACATGTGTCCTTATAGTAGAACGATTTATAGTCTTTTGGATATATACCAAGTAATGGGATTGCTGGGTCAAATGGAATTTCTATTTCTAAGGCCTTGAGGAATCACCACACTGTCTTCCACAATGGTTGAACCAATTTACACTCCCACCAACAGTGTAGAAGTGTTCCTTTTTCTCCACATCCTCTCCAGCATCTGTTGTCTCCAGATTTTTTAATGATCGCCATTCTAACTGGTGTGAGATGGTATCTCAATGTGGTTTTGATTTGCATCTCTCTGATGACCAGTGACGATGAGCATTTTTTCATATGATTGTTGGCCTCATATATGTCTTCTTTTGTAAAGTGTCTGTTCATATCCTTTGCCCACTTTTGAATGGGCTTGTTTGTTTTTTTCCTGTAAATCTGTTTGAGTTCTTTGTAAATTCTGGATATCAGCCCTTTGTCAGATGGGTAGACTGCGAAAATTTTTTCCCATTCTGTTGGTTGCCGATCCACTCTAGTGACTGTTTCTTTTGCTGTGCAGAAGCTGTGGAGTTTCATTAGGTCCCATTTGTCTATTTTGGCTTTTGTTGCCAATGCTTTTGGTGTTTTGTTCATAAAGTCCTTGCCTACTCCTATGTCCTGGATAGTTTTGCCTAGATTTCCTTCTAGGGTTTTTATGGTGCCAGGTCTTATGTTTAAGTCTTTAATCCATCTGGAGTTAATTTTAGTGTAAGGTGTCAGGAAGGGGTCCAGTTTCTGCTTTCTGCACATGGCTAGCCAGTTTTCCCAACACCATTTGTTAAACATGGAATCCTTTCCCCATTGCTTGTTTTTGTCAGGTTTATCAAAGATTGTATAGTTGTATATATGTTGTGTTGCCTCCGGTGCCTCTGTTTTGTTCCATTGGTCTATATCTCTGTTTTGGTACCAGTACCATGCTGTTTTGATTACTGTAGCCTTGTAGTATAGTTTGAAATCCGGTAGTGTGATGCCCCCCGCTGTGTTCTTTTTGCTTAGAATTGACTTGGCTATGCGGGCTCTCTTTTGGTTCCATATGAAGTTCATGGTGGTTTTTTCCAGTTCTGTGAAGAAAGTCAGTGGTAGCTTGATGGGGATAGCGTTGATTCTGTAAATTACTTTGGGCAGTATAGCCATTTTCACGATATTAATTCTTCCTAACCATGAACATGGAATGTTTCTCCATCTGTTTGTGTCCTCTCTGATTTCGTTGAGCAGTGGTTTGTAGTTCTCCTTGAAGAGGTCTCTTATGTTCCTTGTGAGTTGTATTCCAAGGTATTTTATTCTGTTTGTAGCAATTGCGAATGGCAGTTTGCTCTTGATTTGGCTTTCTTTAAGTCTGTTGTTGGTGTAGACAAATGCTTGTGATTTTTGCACATTGATTTTATATCCTGAGACTTTGCTGAAGTTGCTTATCAGTTTCAGGAGTTTTTGGGCTGAGGCAATGGGGTCTTCTAGATATACTATCATGTCGTCTGCAAATAGAGACAATTTGGCTTCCACCTTTCCTATTTGAATACCCTTTATTTCTTTTTCTTGCCTGATTGCTCTGGCTAGAACTTCCAGGACTATATTGAATAGGAGTGGTGAGAGAGGGCATTCTTGTCTAGTGCCAGATTTTAAAGGGAATGCTTCCAGTTTTTGCCCATTCAGTATGATATTGGCTGTTGGTTTGTCATAAATAACTTTTATTACTTTGAGATACGTTCCATCGATACCGAGTTTATTGAGGGTTTTTAGCATAAAGGGCTGTTGAATTTTGTCAAATGCCTTCTCTGCGTCAATTGAGATAATCATGTGGTTTTTGTTTTTGGTTCTGTTTATGTGGTGAATTACGTTGATAGACTTGCGTATGTTGAACCAGCCTTGCATCCCTGGGATGAATCCTACTTGATCATGATGAATAAGTTTTTTGATTTGCTGTTGCAATCGGCTTGCCAATATTTTATTGAAGATTTTTGCATCTATGTTCATCATGGATATTGGCCTGAAGTTTTCTTTTCTCGTTGGGTCTCTGCCGGGTTTTGGTATCAGGATGATGTTGGTCTCATAAAATGATTTGGGAAGGATTCCCTCTTTTTGGATTGTTTGAAATAGTTTTAGAAGGAATGGTACCAGCTCCTCCTTGTGTGTCTGGTAGAATTGGCTGTGAACCCATCAGGACCTGGACTTTTTTTGTGTGGTAGGCTCTTAATTGCTGCCTCGTCTTCAGACCTTGTTATTGGTCTATTCATAGTTTCAGCTTCCTCCTGGTTTAGGCTTGGGAGGCCACAGGAGTCCAGGAATTTATCCATTTCTTCCAGGTTTACTAGTTTATGCGCATAGAGTTGTTTGTAATATTCTCTGATGATGGTTTGAATATCTGTGGAATCTCTGGTGATTTCCCCTTTATCATTTTTTATTGCATCTATTTGGTTGTTCTCTCTTTTCTTTTTAATCAATCTGGCTAGTGGTCTGTCTATTTTGTTGATCTTTTCAAAAAACCAGCTCTTGGATTTATTGATTTTTTGAAGGGTTTTTCGTGTCTCAATCTCCTTCAGCTCAGCTCTGATCTTAGTTATTTCTTGTCTTCTGCTGGGTTTTGAGTTTTTTTGATCTTGCTCCCCTAGCTCTTTCAATTTTGACGATAGGGTGTCAATTTTGGATCTCTCCATTCTCCTCATATGGACACTTATTGCTATATACTTTCCTCTAGAGACTGCTTTAAATGTGTCCCAGATGTTCTGGCACGTTGTGTCTTCGTTCTCATTGGTTTTGAAGAACTTCTTTATTTCTGCCTTCATTTCGTTGTTTACCCAGTTAACATTCAAGAGCCAGTTGTTCAGTTTCCATGAAGCTGTGCAGTTCTGGGTCGGTTTCTGAATTCTGAGTTCTAACTTGATTGCACTATGGTCTGAGAGGCTGTTTGTTATGATTTCAGTTGTTTTGCATTTGTTGAGCAGTGCTTTACTTCCAATTATGTGGTCAATTTTAGAGTAGGTGTGATG